ATGTCACGATATACAATAAACCGTCCTTTATGGGTGTCCGTAATAGCGAGGTTATCTTTACAATAAGATATCACGATATACAATAAACCGCCCTTTATGGGTGTATAATATAATAAGGTTATCTTTACAATACGATGTCGACATATACATTAAATTGTACTGATGTTGGCGTTTTACTGTGAAATTCAGGGCACTGTAAGTGTTTTAGAAAGTATTATATTACATTGCGAAGATGGTGCAGTATATTTATAGATGTATATGTGAAACTCTCTATGAAACAATATGACGAAATAATAAAGGATATATTATGTACAATGGGTGCACACACTTCTGAGACCACTTTGTGAACGGATCATTCTTATATCATGATACGACCATGCTGTCTAACGCGGACTATTAACCTTCACTTCAGTCAAGCTTTCTACCATGTTTGAAATAATTTAATACTATACATGCAATGCAATCCACTGTTATACTTGTGTTGATTTTGTTGGAGGGGCCCTGCCACAGGTAACCCACCAGTCCCACTCAGTGAACACAGAAGATACCAAAGGGCAGCCGAGATTTATGATTGGGCGAAGTTCCACCGAACGTCCCTTGAAATCGTAGAAGAGATTAAGATTTGTCATCAATTTGTCCTGCAAATTAAAATTTCTAAAGTTGYAAGGATATTAAGATTTGTCATCAATTTGTCCAGCAAATTAAAATTTGGTAAAACAGAAAAAATAAAATTTCTACAGTTGAAAGGACGCCTGTTAACCTACCGGCAGCTTTTGAAGAGCAGACAATTTGAAGACTTGTTTGAGTTCAAGACCTGGTTCTAAAACATCTCCTGACAGCATACCAACTTCTGATCGCACAGGCTAATGACATTCAATAATAACGAACGTGAAACTGAGTATGGTCCCTCACAATGCGATGGATGTCATGTTGATGATATTCATTTGTTGGACACTCATTTATTACTTATAAATGTAAGATGAGGAAGGTAAGATAAGGAGGTGTAGAATGCAGGACAAACAAATGACAAAGCTTACCGCAGGGACACTAAGATCCATAACAAATCGTGTCAATGGAAAAGGTGTCCTATTCGATGCTATAAGCATCACCTCCATTACGTTTGAGAAATTTGCCCTGAATTCAGCCATCAGGTAAATATGGTCGGTCTCTAATACAACAAAAGGCTTGGGTAACACTGAGAAAAAAGATCGTTTACTATTTCAAACATTTCTGTATGTATTGTGAAGAAAACATGTAGTTGTTCACTTACTATGTGCTTTCTCCCATAATGCAACTCTTTCCCTAAATTCATTTGGTAATGCCYTAGGACATATGGGATCTGTGAGCCTGCAGTCCAGATAAGCGTCACTTTCATGACAGGGTCTTTGATTTATATAGTGATTYTTACTAAAGGATACATCTGAAAAGACAACCAACAGTTTATCATTTCAATCACGTGCGATCATCGTTTATCATTTAATGTATCACATTTCGAATCGCGTCTTTTTAGAGATGACAAATTTAGTGAGCAGCCCAATGTCGACTTAGCTAAAGGTATCTGAAAGCCATACCCTGTGCCATACTGATTGAAKAATTGGGTCATTTTCTACACTTTCTGGACAAATCTTAAATAATTCGATAACTTATTGCTTCTTTCAGTGTTTGGAAGCCTTTTCTCTGAGCCTAACTCGCWCAAATCAAACAAAGTTTCACTTATTGGATTATCTTGCATAGAAATCGAGACTAAATGGAGTTAATTTTTACCACAGACTATCTTACTGTGTAAATCAGTTGTTATTTCGCAMCAATTAGCAAAACCCATGGCTACATTTGGTCGTGCAATCGCCGTTCGACCATTGACATTCGCCATTTCATCCGACAACCTTTTTCGAAATAGGTATACAATGTATATAAATATATCATATATAAATTGAATAAATTGAAGAAAAAGGCACACAACTTGCAACTAGTATTTCTACTCTTWATTAGAACGTTTCGYCCTTCTTCAGCAAACTGAGTGTTTTGCACGCGCCACCKTCTATAAATCCTAGATATATATGCTCATGCAAGTTCTTCTCGACCTTTTCTCCGTGGAGCGATCTAGAAAGAGTCTCGGACTGGACTATTTGCAGCATCGAATCAAAATGAAAGAGTCCCTTGAAATTGTTTTAATTGCATATTTTTGCTACATATCTCCTATGTGTCTTCATTTTGCACTGCAACGTAAATGACTTAACAGCACAAAGCACTTTCCACTCTAATTTCTATTTACATTATCACGTTTCCATTTCTGTGTCTCTTCTAAAGACGTTTGCTCGACCAAGTGATGACAGTGATACTATAGATGAGTATTAAGAATGTATATTCAAAGTAAAAAATATAATTTATGGAATAATAAAATTCTTGGAAACTCTTCTATAACATACCTCGCGCGACATCCATTAAGATATTCTCAATTCTAACATTTCTATGGATATGTCTCAGGAGATGCTGAGCGTAAAGGCCATTTTCTTGGTCTCTCTCTTCGTGTGCTTCTTGTTCTGAGCAGCTGTATGAGAGAGCAACTATTATCAAATATACTGAAAACCCAGATACATGATATAAGGTAAACACAGTAACTTTTAACGACATGCGAATATTATAAGTATGTTTATCATACTCATTAATTATTCATGAGGTACCCAACCAATCCCTGATTGTAATTTGTACCACGTGAAGTAACTTGAAACCAGAGGAAGTACTCGTACTTTGTATTCAACCTTATTTCCAGTTACTTCTACCTTTTTCAAGTTACTTRTACATTATTTCCAGTTATTTCTACCTTATTTCCAGTTACTTCTACCATGTTTCCAACTACTACTAGCTKARGARAATCAAATTATTAGAAATAATCAGTTTAACATTAATTTAGTGAAAAAAGGTCTTTGATACATGACTCCCTCACGACTCGATCCCCTACCATTCAGTCCATATGCGCCGTCTTATATCATTACAACACCGAGTTTCTGATGCGATTCCTCGGAAGATAACATGTTTATAAATCTTATGAATTAGGAATGCCATGAATAGCAGACAA